ACAAAAATGCAATATGTAAATGTCAGTGTATTTCTGTATTTCAGTTAGCATTTTCCAAGACATATGTGCAATGTTTGCAGCAGAATGAAATTGAAAAAAAACAATGCATTTTCATTTAACACATTGCGACGAATGAAAGCCGTTTTGAAATTGAAAATGCATTCTGGCCTGGCCACGCCCACAGACAGCTGCCGTTTTGCTGCAAGGCGGGTTTTAGGTTATGTCGTTACAGCTGCAGCGAGGACTATTTGGGACATTTGGCAGCATAAACATGGCGAAGTCTGTTCCTCAGCGGCTTCGTGAAGCTGCACGAGCCCTCGAGCGTGAACTGGGAAATACATTAGAAAACCAATCACCTCCTAGCTCAGTAAAGTTGGCTTTAGGTTTGATATTCGCGCACGCAGTTTTAGGGATCATCTGCAAATTACATTGACAGAACCTAAAGGGGCTTTAGCTGATGTGTACTGTATGCTTATGACAAGAGCTAGTCCCTATTTCTCAGGGGTGATAGCGTTCCGGCACCACGCCGGATTTCCGGCGTACTGTGGCTGCGGGGGAAAAAAAATCAGGTTCACGGATATTGATCTGTCATTTCTCTAGATTCACAGAATTCACTCACTGCTACTGATTAATTGTGTAATTTAGAGAGCTTTATAAATTATAACGGATCTTTGTGAGATCTATATGAACTAAGATTAGTGACGCTTTTTAGTGATAATAAGAGGAGCGTGCTTTGCACTTTCCAGGCTATAATCCATTCAGAATTTGTATGAAACTTTCGTTTTCGGCACATATACGCTGATATGTTTTGGGAATGACATCTGCATATTTACGCTGGGTTTATTCTCGAAATAACGGTGAAGAAATAGACGGGACAAAAATATATTTCCCCCTTCTCCTTAAACAACTTAGTGTTTCAGCTATGAAATAGTTCAGTTTTGTATGTAGCCTAATGGCAAAGTGTTTATATTTAGTTTCGTTTTTTATTCGGCTTATTTAGAAAAACGTTTGGAGCATTTTTTATTCGTTAAAAATAAGTTTTTTTAACGAACAGCGCCCAGCGGAAGACCATCATTGTCTGTTTGATCAGTTTGCCTTCTCAGATCATCACGACTTGCATAAAATAAAAGATATAAAACAGTTCAAGTATAAAACAATGGTAGCTTAAACGTTAAAGAATGTGTGCTATTAGGCGCATAGTTTGCTTATAAAAAGCTTGCAGGCATCGAGGCGCCAGAGCAATCACTTGCATTTTTTCAGTGGGAACAATTTAAAGTTATCCGTAATTTTTGCTCACAAAGTACGAGTAATACATCAAAAAACGTTACAGCGTTTTTATAAAATAAAGAAAACCAAAATTATGCGCTTTCTGTCGTCTGGTTTTTGAACAGGAGCGCTTAACAAAATGAAGCAAAATGTATATGCCTCACAGACATAATAAATATATTTATAGAAAGCTTTAAATTATTACTTAACGAAATAAAACAAAAAAACTCCTTCATGTAATCCGTAAAGATGAAATTCTAAAGGCGAGTCCAAGAGGAGATTGCCAGTCAGGATCTTTGCGACACTGACTCAGAATAAGTTTATTAATAAATAATTAAGATATGTCCTTACTCTTTCCTCGACACATTCATTGTTATTTGTTTTTGCCGGTGCTTGGTGCGAGTTTTAGCTTATTGTGTGCGCTTGAACGCGGATTCACAGTAGCAGTTTTAACATGGAGTGACACGACATCTGACGTACAGATGACACTGGCACATGCCACTGAGTGTAGTGACACTTCCGGTGGCACGTCCGTTTTTCCACTGTCATGTGTCACTCGCTAGTGGCATGTGTAGTGACCTGTGTCACGCAGAGTGTCGCGCTGCATGTCACTGCAGTGACATCGACACCCGGCGAAGCTTATGACATGAATTAACACGAGCAAAACCATATTTAATCATTACGCGACATTTAACCTAATTTATCGCGTCGCAAGTTAGTTTATTTGCTGAGCTACTCCATGATGTTTTAATTTAAACGCATTTATTTTATGTATTCGTAGTCATACTTCCGTACGTAATATAGTCATTTGACAGTACATGTCAGTCAAATTTATTGTGGCATGCTTATGTATGGGAGGGGTTACACTTATCTGTTGTACTGTATATTATTGCATCCTGGCAGTTCCTTTGTACCCTACAATATGGACTTCTCTATGTTTTTAATTCATTCATTTATTTTATTATTTAACTTATTTTCATTTTAAGGTATTTTAAATAATATCCTTTAAAAAGTTATAATAAAATGCATGTTGAAAACTCATAACATATATGCATGTAAGATAACAGGTGTCATTTGCCTAATGATTTTTAAATATTAAAGCAAAGAGACTTATAAGATTAATGTGCTTATAACGTGCTTATACTGACACCTACTGGCACATGTCACAAGATCACTGACACTGGCATGTGTCACTGACATTACTGGCATGTGTCTAAAAAGAGCCACTTGACAATAATGATGATCAGGGTTACACATAGGCTGTAAATATATTTGGGCCCAGGGGCCCACAAGTTATGTGTTAAAAGTGCGTTGCATACATAGTACCCCCACCCCTACTCACCTCAGGGGCAAGGAAAAAAAGTTCAGGCTCAGGAATTTTTTCCACTATCAGCCCTGCTATTTCTGCATTGTATGTACCATATAGTTAGAGGTATAGTAGCCTTGCTACCTGTATTAAATCAGTCTGGCCTCTAACCATTTATTGGAATCTTCTAGAAAAATTTTTTTCTGCTTTGCGTTACTGTGCGTTTTGGTTCTGTTGATTCCACTGTTTTGAAAGGTCTAATAAATAACCAGAATGGTGTTTTGAGCTGAAACTTTACAGAGACACAAAAGACATATTAAATATTTAAAAAGATGTAAAATAGATCCCCTTTAACTGAAGTCAACTAGCATGCATTTTAATTTTAATAATTCATTAGTAAATGTTGAACCATGATTAATAAATGCTGTACAAGTAGTTTTCATTAATGCTTTACGTTAGTAAATATGTTAACTAACATTAATGAAAACCTATTGTAAAGTGTGAACAAAATAGCTTTACAGAAAGCTTACAGTAATGTCTGATTGTTAGGTTTAGATTAGATTGCATTTCTTACTTAAATATTAAAATATACAAAAATATTAAATTAAGAAGCTTTTTCAGGACAAACAAACTATTGTCTTGTTTTAAGAAATATGTCCCCATGGTTCTTCCTTAAAACAAGCAAAACATTCACAATTAACAATTTTGGATATTTATACTAGAAACAAGACAAAAAGTCTTTTTTTTTTTTGCAGTGAGGGGAAAAAGCAATCAAAAACTGATTTAGACTGATAGAAAGACAACAGTTTGCAGATATCTCTGAACACATACAGTACAGGGATGGATAGACGGCTTAACCATTAGGCAAAGGTAAACAATTGCTCTGAGCTACTAAGACCCCCACCCCCAAAAAAACTACTAAAGATAAAGCAAAAGGGTAGATAAGGGTAAATGATCACAAAATTTGCAGCAGAAAAGGGTAACTTTGTCTAGATTAACTGTTTAGATGTGCTAGAAGTGTAGCACGCTCAGGACATTTGCTGGTTAAAAGTGGCAACTACAACAAGATTAACAAAATCTGAAACATGTGCATGGATTTAGGATAAATTGTTATTGTTCGCTGATCATTAGTAAAACAGAAAATTGATACTAAAATTGATATCAATGTCCATACACACTCATTCACTACGGCTAATTTAGTTTATTTAATTCACCTAAAGCACATGGGGGAAACTATAGCACCCGAATGAAATCCTCGCAAACACTGGGAGAACATGCAAACTCCACACAAAAATGCCAGCTGGCCCAGCATGGACTCAAACCAGTGACTTTCATGCTGTGAGGCGACAGTGCTAACCACTGAGCCACTGTCGTCTTTAAATTTAGTTTATTAATTTGTCATTATCTGGGTGCCATCAACTAGCATTCTTCAAAACATCTTCTTTTGCAGTCAACAGTTGAAAAAACAACATAAAGGTTTTAAAACACACGAGGGAGAGTAAACGATGAGGTACTTTTCATTTTTGGGTAAACTTTCCCCTCTATACAATACCCTTAATTCAAGATATCATTAGGGGGGCTCACCATTAAAAGTGATGAAAGAATCCAGGCTGACCTCTTGTGGTGAATTTAGGTAATATACAATAAATAATATTTTATTTAGTCCAAAATCAAAGTTAATGCTACATGCTAACGTATTGTTTTCATGTTAAAAATTCTTCTGGGATAATATAATATATATTTAAGCCAAATGCTTGAAAAGCCTTTATCGTGTTTCCCTGAATGTATTTAGCAATGAAATGAGAGTTTATCTGCAAAATGCAGCATTTTAGCTAGACTTTAGGCATGAGTGTTTAACAAAATTTCCATATAAACAACAAGGAAGTCAATGATTAGAGATTCCCAGCTTTCTTCAAAGTATCTTCTTTTGCACAGGTTTGTGAAGAGTGAGTAAATAAGGAAATGTTCATTATTAGGTGAAATCTTTAAGTTTAAGTGAAGAGTAGTGGAACAGTTAAGATAGGAACTCCTGTTGTAGTCCGTTATGTTTTCTCACTTTCCTTCTGTATATGAACATACACTCTAGAAAATGTTCCTCACAATTCCTTTATGCTGTCCCAGCACAAATCAATTAAGTTAACTTAATTGTTTTGACACATTTAAGTAGATTGAATATAAAACAATTAAGTTGTCCCAAAAAACCTCAAGAATTATGTTGATTAAGCTCATTTTAAATAAGTAGTTTGAACAAGCAGCAAATAAGTGTATGATGATGCAAAGACTTAATGATGATGTAAATGCTAGTTTTTTCATATTTCTTTTATTTTTCTCTAGTTTGAAAAATTGCTTGACCAGTAGTTTTAAAGACCACCATAATTGTGTAATAATATTGTAAATGGTTGTGACAATGAAGATGATACAACTGATTGATGCTTGCCATTTGATACTTTTATTAAAAGATTTATGGAAGAATGAAAAAAAAAAACATCTCAAGATTATTTCTTTTTATAAACATTTCCAGTTATGTTGTGGATCCATGGAAGATATGCTGAAATCCTAGTATACACGTTAGGAAGCAAACGTGAATTACAGAGATAACGGTCACCGAAAGAAGTGATACCAACAGCAGTGTTATTACAAACCAAAGGACCTCCAGAATCCCCCTGTTAAAAACACAGATCAACACGTCACTAGTGAAATTAGTTCAAACATTAACATAAAGTCTGATTCATATTTCATACGTACACTGCAGGATCCACCATGGCCATAAGCACAGATCATCTTTGAAGCCTTGTAAGTCTTGTTCCATCTGCGTTCACACTCTGCATCATTCACAATTACTGTCTCTGCCTCTCTTAGACGATCTGGACTTGGGCCTTTTGACCACAGTCTTCCCCAACCAGCAACACTACAGAGAATATCTGCTTCAACATCTTCTCCATCCTTTGGTAGTGATATCAGTCCAACATTGTGGCTCAGTCTGACTTTTTTATTTAGCTGTAATGCAAAACAGTATTATTTACTGTGAACACTTTACAATAGAGGTGTACTAATATGCTTTAAATAATGCTTAACTAATGCACATATGTTCATTAGTTCATGTAAACTCATATAGAGCTCAACTGATTATTACTGTATGAGCAACAAATTAATATTCTATATGATTCCTACGTTAATTAATCAATAATATGGTATTAGTTCATTCGATCAGCCTTTATTTATGTAGCATCTTACTACAACCAAGGTTGACCAAAGTGCTTTAGACCAGTAAACACAAGTTATACAACACAACTAAAAAGCAGACAATGCAAAACAATATGTGTGAGTGCTCTGCATTAAAAGCCAATTTGAACAAGTGGGTCTTAAGCTTGGCTTAAATGAGTTAAGCGAGTTATGAGTTGTTAGTTAAACGAGTTGTAAGGTATTAGTTCGCTAATAACATATTATATGAAATAATTATTTAATTGCAGGCGCTAATTAACTGTGTAGTCAAAGTTATGCACTTCCACTTCCAGTTGTCTGCTTTTATTTAGTTAATCATTAGACAATGATTCGCAAAGGTATAATAACTGTATGACTTGTTCTGGCTCAGGACTGTTAACTAATTGTTTGTGTACTGTAAGTAGTTATTTGCTAGTATTTAGTTGCAAATCATTAGAAAAGGAACTGCATGGTTTCAATATGTTGTGGTAATAAACACATTTACACTATTGGTTATTATATATACTAAACGCTATTAGAGTTAACAGTTTTTAGATTACTTAATATATGAATAATAAAGAGTATTCATTTGATGCGCATGCTGTAATCATTAATAAATGGTTTAGTTTTCATGAATTATATCTTAACTTTTGATTATCTGTGCATTAGCTAAACATTATCTAATCTATATCAGTGAACCAGTAATCGTTCATTTATTTTCTTTTAGGCGTAGTCCTTTTATTAATCTGGGGTTGCCACGGCGGAGTGAACCGCCAACTTATCAAGCATATGTTTTACACAGCGGGTGCCCTTCCAGCCGCAACCCATCACTAGGAAACCCATACTCAACACTGAATCGCACACATTCATACACTATGGACAATTTGGCTTACCCAATTCACATATACCGCATGTCTTTGGACTTGTGGGGGAAACCGGAGCACCCGGAGGAAACTCACGCGAACATGGGGAGAACATGCAAACTCCACACATGAATGCCAACTGACCCGGCCAAGGCTCGAAGGAGCGGCCTTCTTGCTGTGAGACGACAGCACTACCTACTGCGCCACCACGTTGCCTGCACCCATATTGTAAAATATTATTGACTCAATTTATGATTATTCTGTAGTTTTTGTTTGTTTGTTTGTTTGTTTTAAAACAGAAGCACCAAATGACAAAGAATAAAAGGATTTAAGGTTGATACCTTCAAAAGCATGACGTCATTCCGATCAGAATTGAGTTTATACTCAGGATGTGGGATGTAGGATGTCACTTCAAAGGTGTCGTAAATTTCATTTCCACTCAAATCATGGGCGCCAACCCCAACCGTGATGACATCACCTCTGTTGAACAAGCATTTTGTATCACTGTTGTATGATGCACTGCATGATTGTGCTCATGTGTAGTTCTAAATGGATTTTAACTCAACATAGCTCACAGTGCACATTAAACAAAACTCTTACTTTTTCCAGCAATGTGCAGCAGTCAAGACAAACTGTTCAGTAATGAGGAATCCACCACAGCTATGCCATCCTTTTTTCTGAAGAGAAACCATGTAAGGTCTGGAGTGAGGTTTTGCTTTAGTGCCGTCCTCTATACCCACACGAGCTGAAAGAAACAGGTGTTAGTAAATGAAAATAGTTGTTAGTCAAATTACTCTGTACTTTAAAAACTAATATTCTTAACAAATGCCCAAATCATCATCTGTATAGTCAGTCTCACCAGTGTAGGTCAGGTCTGGCACCAGAGAAACCAGCAGGAGCAGAGAGATGATGATGATGGTCATGATGAAGACTATCAGTGAGCTCTCTATGACAAAACACTTGCATATATATATACTGAAAATATGGGTGGAGACATTCAGATTTACAGTATTTTTTCTTGGTCCCACCCTAAGTTATATTTTATAGATGAAACTAATTTGATTGGCTCTTATTACAGTATGAGTCATTTAGAAAGTCACACCATCTGACACCAAATTAAATTCTCACTACATCCAGTACACTTCATTATAAAGGCAGGCATTATAAAGGCTTCATTAGAAGTTTCTTAACACACATAAAATACTCTCAATAATAATCTCTGTATACACCATAGCCAAAAAACCCTCACATTTAATTTTAAGCTAAGTTTACTAATTTTAAAGCTTGTGTGCACAGAACATTCTCAATACAATACGAAACTAAAACTTATAAATAATGATAGAAGCCCTGTTGAGATGCATATACCGTATTGATTTTCCATTTAGTTTACTGATGAGTGCGATGCAGCTTTCAGTTTTGAATTAGATTTATTATAATCTTACATTTCTATGTTTGTAGCAGAAACTTTATTTGTTTATTAAATTGACATGCATATAAAACAATGGTTCAAAAAAAATTTCTTTACTTCAGTGCTGCATTTTTGTTTGAATAAAAAATATGATTTTATTTTTGAATAATACAACAGTTGCAGCAAAAAATATATATATATTTCTAGCAGAAAACTCATGTTTTTAAATATTTATCAGCACAATCAGCGCAGTAAAATGGAGAGAACTGCATGTATTTATTTATTTATTGTTATAATTATTGGTATCATCATCAAGATTTCTTTATCTTTGGACATTTATTTTGTGGGAGCAGCTGTGCTTCTGAGTGAAAAAAGAGCAATAAAACAGGTAGTCCCAGCCCATGTAATTTTCTGTTACAGACCAACCCAGTCACTATTAAAGAAAACAAAATGTATGTTGCCTTCAAAGTGAAAAGGTTGGGGACCCCTGATGTAGAACATATGAAGAAAGTTGTAAACATGGATGGTTCCTGATTTTGTCCTGTAGTAGGGCAGCAGAGTTTTGTATAAGATGCTACTACTGTATGTAATATACTGTATGCATTCTTTTGGATACAGCTGGTGAGATGTCTGTTGCAGTAATGGCATTTTTTGTCAGCTTAGCCTTGCTTGGTTTTGAAAGATAATAGGCTGCTTTTGTAATTGCTTTATTATGGCTGTATTATGACGTTTTGGCATATCTAAAACCAATGATAGGAATAGGAAGCCTTATTAAAGAAAATAAAGAAACAATCAGACAGTGTTTAGATTGTTATGAAAGAGAAGAGACTGGCCCATATTTAGGGGTGGTTTGAATATTCTATCATTACTGCCAAAGGTCAATTATTTTTCTTAAATTTTTTTGTACTGTACTCTGCACATTGTACTGTACTCTGCACATTAATCCTTCATTCAAATTTGACATTAAAAACACTAATCTATAAAACAGTAATGTAAACCAGGGATTCTTAACTGCTGGGCCTCAGCGATCCTGCAGGTGGGCTGCGAGCTTAAAATTAGTTCTCAATATTATGCTATAATTTTTGGATTTTATAATTAATATGCTTAAAATGACTAAAGTAATGCACTTTCTCCTGTTCTTTTAATTGATTACTTTAAACTCGGCGCAAAAACACCCTCAACTACACCATAGTTCACAAATTATGCATAAAGTGGACGTGAAAGTCTCTCTTTGTGTATTTTTGTGTGAACTGTTTAATATATCTGCAGTTGTATGTCAGTATGTCATTTAAGTGTTTTATAACAGATGCACCCCCATACAGGAGGGTCTAGCGAGGCTCAGTGGTTTTTCATGCATAGAATGTAAAATAAACTTGCATATGAGCTTCAGACACGCTCTGACGGACCTGTTCATTGTTCCTGTCAGCGATCTCCCAATAATATAAAGCTACAAGATTGACACATTCAACAGATTTAGGGTGTTTTACTGTAATTGACATTTGTTTGCATATTTTTGGTTAGTAGATATTTAATAGTAGATATTCAGTCAGTATAGTTTAACGCAGAAGCTATATATATATGAGACGACACAGTGGCGCAGTGGGTAGCACGTTCGCCTCACAGCAAGAAGGTCGCTGGTTCGAGCCTCGGCTCAGTTGGCGTTTCTGTGTGGAGTTTGCATGTTCTCCCTGCGTTCGCGTGGGTTTCCTCCAGGTGCTCCGGTTTCCCCCACAGTCCAAAGACATCCGGTACAGGTGAATTGGGTAAGCTAAATTGTCCGTAGTGTATGAGTGTGTGTGTGTGAATGTTTCCCAAAGATGGGTTGCGGCTGGAAGGGCATCCACTGTGTAAAAACTTGCTGGATAAGTTAGCGGTTCATTCTGCTGTGGCGACCCCGGATTAATAAAGGGACTAAGCCCTTGAATGAATATGAATAAATGAATGAACGAATGATATATATGAGCAATATCACATGAATAGCAGTACGGTATGGCTGTATATCAGCAGTGGTGGGAATTATGCCTTGGCACGAGGCCGCAGGCTGAGTGTCTCAGTGTCCCACCAGTGCTGCTACTCATGTGATATTGCGTTTATACAGCAGTTCGACAGCACAATCGGGTATATAAAAAAGAAAATCAAACACAGAAAGTCTAAAAACCCTTTTTTTTTTAGGAACTGCTATCTTCCACCATTCATTTACATCTGCAGCTGACGTCAAAACAGCAGAAGCCATTACTAATTCACCAACACCACTTTAGAGTTAGTATTTGAATGATTCTCAAGTGTAATGTATAAAGTGATGACAAAACACCAGATTTTGCTGACATTTTAAGATTATAAGGCTGAACTTGACATGAAATTCCCTCCGTCTACAGAGATATCTTCTTATAGTGATACAGTCTAGGGTATTTCGCTGTTGCAATTGGAATATCACAATAAATTACCCCAAAAAAGCAGAGCAATAACCATCAAGACTGCTGTTGTGTTTGCAATAAAGAAAAATAAGGAGGGGGTGTT